TTTGAAATTAATTTCTGTCTACTGTCTACAGGAGGTCTCAGTGTTCCAGCCCAATGTGATTTATAAGTTCACTCAAGTCAAACTGTTGTCAGGCTTACTGTGTAGGACCAACCAAAGATTAGGAATTTTAACCATCTATTTCCATGACCAAGGCAAAGCCTGACAATCTAGACCAACGAGTATGTCATTGAACTAGAAAACTGGAAACTGAAGTGTTTAACAGCAGAGCTCCAACATGTTCTATAAAATTAATTAGCTCTCAGAGTTACTGAGAGGAAACGTTGAAAAGCTGTGAATTTCTTTTGGTGGTTGTTCAGCAGCTCAGCTGTGTCTGACTCTGTGCAACCCCATAGACTGCAGCGTTGGGCTTGCCAGGTGGCACTAGTGGTAAGGAACCTCCCTGCCAACACAGGAGCCATAGGAGAGGCTGGTTCGATCCCTGGGTCAGGAAGATCCCCTGGAGGAGGGCATGGCAACCACTCCACTATTCTTGCCTGTAGAAGCCCATGGATTGAGAAGCTTGGCAGGCTACAGTCTATGGGGTCACAAAGACTCAGGACTGAATGCAGACTGCAGCACACCAGGTTCCCTGGCCTTTACTGTCTCTGAGTTTGCTCAGATTCACGTCCAGTGATGCCATCCAACCATCTCATCCTCTATCATTATTACCCAGCCACAAAAATCAATTGATCTATGAATTTCCTGTGTTTGACATAAATAGATATTCTCATTTATGTTTTAATAACAGCATAAATCAAAAGATTATTCATCATAATTTCCAAGTTGCTCTATCAAATTGTATGAAAAATGGTAATTCTAAACTGAAAACTCCCTTAGTGTAAATTTTTGCCAAAAAGTTGGTGAAAGGCACAAATACAAAAAAGAAAGAATCCAACACTATAGAATTATATATAACTTAATTTTAGAAACATGGGGTATAAAATAATTTTATTTTGGAGTAGAGTGTAAGCTAATTTCTATATTGTATCATCTAAATGATAACAAACAGCCTTACTCTTCTATTAAACAGATTGTCATATGGGATTTTTGCTGTATCTGCTCCACTTTTTATAGTTCAGTATAGTATAAAAAAGGCCATAAAACTTTGAAAACATTAACTGATGTATTTAATTCCTGGTGAATCCTCTGCTGCTAGACATGCTTGTTTCTATTAAGAGTTCTTATTCTATTGTTGTTCAGTCGCTAAATCATGTCCAACTCTCTGTGACCCCGTGGACTGTAGCCCACCAGACTTCTCTGTACATGGGATTTCCCAGGCGAGAATACTGGAGTGGGTTGTCATTGCTTCCTCCAGGGGATTTTGCCAGCTTGTGGATAAAACTCATGTCTCCTGCATCTCCTGCATTGGCAGACAAATTCTTTACCACTGGGTCACCTGGGAATCCCCAAATTTAAATACGTGACACCTAGTTAAATTTAAATTTCAGTTAGACAGGTATACTTAGTATATTATGATCTATGCAATATTTGGATGTAATACTTATACTAAACATCTATCAGTTGTTTATCTGAAATTCACATTTAACTGGGCGTCCTGTATTTTGTCTGGCAACCCCACCAGCCACACTTGGTTGCCTCCCCCCACACTGCAGTCAAGTCACTCACTCCTTCACTATATGTGTGTGTGTGTGTGTGTGTGTGTGTGTATCCAGCAAGATTCTTTGATTTTAAAAAGCCAGGCTGTGATACAGATGAGGCAAGATTTATGGCACTAGTGGTAAAAAACCCGCCTGCCAATGCAGGAGACATAAGAGATGCAGCTTCAGTCCCTGGGTAGGGAAGATCCCCTGGAGAAGGAAATCGCAACCCACTCCAGTATTCTCACTTGGAAAATACCATGGACAGAGGAGCCTGGTGGGCTATACAGCTCATGGGGTCGTGAAGAGTTGGACACGACTGAAGTGACTCAGCACAGCAAACCACAGCTGGAAGGCTGAGCAGAGAGCAGGCAGGAATCCCGAGAGAACACAGAAGCAGATTTCCTGAATTCTGGGAAGAAGTTGAACGATCGAGCAGGAATCAGACAGTCAAGAAATTCAGCGAGAGGGTGAGGCTGGGAAGGCACACCCCCCCCCCCCCCCCCC